CGCTGAAATGTTGCTGGGGGCGCCTGAAAGGCCAAACGGCATTCGCAAAAATGCATAAGTGCCAGACTTGGTTATAAAAGCAGTCTTAGGCACGTCCTCAGGCCTGATCCCTATTTGAAAATAACCATTCGTTAAGTCTAAAGTCGTCATAAATTTGGTTGATTTTATGTTCCTTAAAATTTCTTCTATAATCGGTAACGGATATACCGGATATTTCGTTATGGAATTTAATTTACGGTAATCAATAGCGAATCTCCACCTTTTTGGATGTGCTCCAAAGGATAATCATTATTTTTCTTACATAAAACCACCGGGCTAGCATAACTACTTGAGATAGGCGTTATGATCTTTTTACGTAGCATATCGGTAATATGCCATTCTATAATTTTTTCCTTATTCTTATCATACCGGTATGGTTTTTGACGAACCGGCAATGCATCTCCGGTGTCAATACTATGGTTAGTAACCTGAGTAAATCCTGGAATATCACTAAATAAGGAAGCAAATTCACTTACCACTTGTCGGATTCTATCTTGCTCGTCATTAGGCAGGTGGTCAAGATTTAACCTTGGCGGTTCAACCTTTTCTACACGCACTGGTTTCATCGTCAGCTTAAGGGACGCTTCATTAAAATCCAGTGTAGCTTGTGCGTCTGAAAGAAAGTCTATTCCTAGTATTAAATGTGCTTGCAAATTCTTTACTATAAAAAACATCACCTTTACTTGTTCGTCCTTGATACGGATGTACAAAGGTACTTTACCTACGCACTTACATTGTTCTCCTTGCGCCGCTAATACTGTTGTATTATCCGCATTATATATGCGGTATTTGCGAAAATACTTTCTAAAAAAGACTTCTGCCACACAGGAACACTGCGCGCCGGTATCCAGGAGTGCGGTGGCCGGGATATTATTTACCAAGACTTCAATCTTCGGAAGAGTTAAATTTTTCACCATTACTGTATTTAACTTGTAGGAAGAGGGGTTTTCGTGGCCTTCGGATTTCCGCACCCTCTCGTCAGCAGAAATCCGTTTTAGTTTAAATTATTTTTCCTTTCGGTGCTTTCCTTCTTTCTCCACTGGCCTTGAGACTTTTTTCCTGGGTTGCTATTGAACTGTCGACGTTCGCCGGCTGTTTTTGAATGCTCGGGTTTCCTTGCCCACTGATTCGCTTTTTCTCCGTAGCCATGTGCTTGAGTTTGCTGTAGTCTTGGCGTACCAAATTGGTTTCGCTGTTGATATTGGCGTCTTCTTTCGACGTCCGCCGTTCTTCTACTTTCAAACTGGATTGCTAGCTCAAATAATTTTTCCAGTGTAGTCGGATTTCTTAATTCAATAAAGTCTTGCACTTGGGGTAGTAACCTCGGCAAAATCACTTGAATTATTTCAGGATCCGGACGGTTTCCATACAAGAGCTTGAAAACGTGAATTTTTCTTAAAATAAAGCTCGAGAGAGGTTTTCCATTCTTTGTTGATATATACTGAAAAGTTCTGTTTCTAATTTCGCACGATCCCTTACAACAGGGAAGGCTTTTAGTAGGGCAGTCTTGAAATTTTCGTAAGTATAGGTGGGACTTCCTGCTTGACCCAAGAGACTTCTGCCGATACATTTGAACCAGTTAAGCGCTTGGCCCCTCAAAGCGCTGGTAGCTAAGGTAACTTTTTGAAACTCGTGCACGGGGTAGAGCATGAAGTGGTCATCCAATTTTTCCAAAAAACTGGTTACCTGTGAGTTTCCATTAAACGTTGCTTCTGGTTTCATCGAAGCGCGCATGGTCTGGACGATGTACCCAAATCCTTCCAGGGCGGCAGCTGGCATTTCTGGATTCTGAGCCGTTTTCTGCAGGCAGCACAGGTTCTTCTTGAAACTCGGCCATGGTTATTCTTCGTCGGGCGCCACTATCAGGTTCAATGTTTCTTCTAACCTTCTTCGGAAACATACAATGACCTGACTAGGAACAGAGAGCTTACTAAAGCTATGTTCACTAATTGTAGTAAGTAGACAGGATACAGACGAAGGGTATACAAAACCCTTTATTTTTCTTTATATACAATGACTTCCGTACTTCGGAATACAATGACCCTCCACTCGGGGTCTAACTTAAAAGATATCAAATAAAAACTAAACTCTAATTTAACTTTAGAATAAGATTGGCCTTATAATAACAGGAAGCGTATGTAGCACAGAGACTGTGAACACTACAATACGTTTAATTTATCAAGAGGATTAAAACCTCTGGCCTGGAAGGCAAAGTAGCAACTGCGTAACTTCTAAGGTAAGCGGCCTGCTTCGAACTCACGGCTTCCTCTCTTCTGCTTGGCAAAAAGGCCACACTTAAATACTTGGCGTTCGCCAGACAAACTTTGCATAAAACTCCTTCACGCTTATAATTCTGGCCGGAAGTAGAAGATAAGAAGTGATAGTAAAGATTTAAAATAAACGTTAGTAAAACTTAAGATCCTTACAAAGCGACGAATAATTATGACAAGGTATCCTTCTCTTTAAAGGACTAAGATGGTCTTAGCGGAAAGCGCCTCTAGTTTGAAATGCTATCCATTCTCTTTAAAAGTGACTGAAGATTGGTCATACAGTAGAATAAGTGACGAATTGTTGTTTGGTGCACGGTAATCCACAGCAGTGACACTTTTTTTACACAAACGAGTTGATGAAAAGTTATTTAGATTAGAGATGGCATAATACTGAGGGTCATGTTCGTCTCTGCACGATCAGAAATTGTGCACTAATAGCAAAATTACAAAACTGAAATCCTTTATCCTTCTGGAGAGAATATTCTAAAGTTACTCTTCTACAAAGTTTACTCTTCTCGAGCAAAGTCAACCAGAGTGGTGACATCGACATCCTGCTCCAAAGCAAAATTTCTCTCACTGCTATATCTAAAGTGGAATTACTAAACAGATATATATATATATATAAGATGCGTCACTGTGTCGAGCTTTAGAAAGGGAAAAGTTTGGCTTCGAAAGAGCTTAACCGTGGCTGTCTGCTGACGTTGGTATTTCTTCCCTGAATGGCAATACGTAGTCATGAATCATCCCTGCACGACTTACGCTGAAAGATAAGAGTGTGGAACGAAAGAGATAGGCAACTGTTTGCGTCATTTAATTCGGAAAGGAAGTATTTTGGGTGTAAAAAAATTATGAAGTGTTGGCCCTTTAACATTCTGTACAGTGCTTTGTTGAGATGGAACTCTCTACCGAGCAGGAATGAGTGAGACTGTAACAAGAACTCCTAGAAAATCTCATTTACCTATGCCACAGTTAGACTATAACATTCAAAAGAACCAGAAAGAGAACCTGCGATAAATCTGCTATAAGATGTTTTTAATGGTAAACTGAGCTTATGAGAGTTTGCCGAAGTTAAATACATATTGCTAAGATGTGTTGTTATTGCTTTTATTGATTGATTTTCAATGCTAGTAATATTTAATTCACCCATGATAAATTTCCGATAATACCATCATTTACTTTCTTCAACTAACGTCACCAGACCCAGTCTTTCAGAGAAGACATTTTCATGCAGTTTAAATACATTGTTGTTGTTGTAATTTCTAATCCTCTTGATCTGCATTACAGCCACATCTGGCTCACGAATTTTATTGTGACCAAGATGCAGGCCTGTAGTTGGCGTATGTCTTGAGCTCCCTAGGCTTCATTCAGATAAGGATTTTGCGGTCATAAGAAACATAAACTGACTTTCGTTACTAGGCAACCAGACCTTACAAAAACTAGTGTCAGAATTTGGCCTAAATGTTCTAACGTTTCGATTTTATGTCAGCTTTCATTACGAACCAACCAATCACAGGGAAGGAAACACGAACCGACATTCGAGTCACGGTTTTTCTGAGTCAGCTCCCTATTTATGCTTGCGTAACTTTATCTTTCTTGATTGGCTGTGGCTTAAACCCTGCTCCACAAGTATAAACGGTTTTGATAGCTTTTACGCCTTTTGTCTATGACAGTAATGACAACTAGACCATAGTATAAGCGGTCCCTTGTAAAAGACACATCAAATCTATCCGGCTTCGTCCCAGTTTTAAAGAATAGCCCTAGGCCTAAGGTCCTCAAGATGACTTTTGGCTCGATAGTATTTTAAGTGTCGCAACAGCATATTGCCACTTACAAACATCCGTCCTTTTCCGGGGTCCCTAAAGCCTAATGACGCAAGGCTTTAGGGACATTAGGCTTTAAGGACAGTAGGCTTTAGGGGCAGTAGGCTTTAGGGACATCTAGCCTCCCTAAAGCCTACTGGACAGATTTATGTGTGTTAATATTCAAGAGGATCAAAAACAGGAAATTATACTAGAAAAGCTTCTAAAATTTTTTTTAATTTAAAGAGGTGTTATACCGAACTCATGCAGCTAACCTTTATTCCGTATAGGGGTGGGAGATTATGACTAAAAATTATACGAAAGATTAAATATCGTCGAAGGGAAGATCCTCGGATGTGCAGTCCATCGAAACTGATGGAGTTGTACAGTAGTGAGATCGGATTGAACCTGTAAAAGCACTGGTGAAGTTCTGGTACCTCTTTTCACTTATTCCTGTTCTGGCGTGATTGATGGGAAGATATAATAATCTTGAATCAGCGCAATATCCCAGGAACTGCAGGCTAAACTTCTTGTTCCACAGGCCCAAATTGAAAAATAATTCCTAAATAACGATTTTAAAAACTTTTTTTTTCATCTGCTGTTTAATTTTTTCATGAAGCCAACATCTTTATCCCAAATAATTTAATAAAGTTAATTTTAAATTGAAACAGTTGTAATTTTTTTACATTGATACCTTCCTATCTTTTAATTTGTGTAATAATTTAGCATTAGCAGTGATATACAAATTTGTACTTTAATTTTTATTTTTTCCCCCGTTAGAATGAGATTCACCCCACTTACCTTTCTCAAAACATAAAATTTTCTTGAATAGATATTTTTATATTTTATCTTCTTTTGAGGGATTTAATAAATTTAATTAATTTTTTTTCAGGTGTTTGTGGATGGATCGCTGTATCTGACGAATGTGCAACTGATACATGGCGGGAACTACACGTGCCATGCGCAGCACAATCGTGATGTGGTACAAACTCATGTACTGCACGTGCATAGTAAGTTATTTTGCCTTCGAGTTATGACTTCCTTAAGTTTTTCTTCCCTCCCTCCAGGTTAGTCTGTGATACTGACTGAAGTATGTACTCTGACAGTTTTGGCTCTCGGTACTTAAAACTCACTGTAAGATCTGTCTCTGCTGTTTCACATAAACTGAATTAGATCCTACAATGAACCTGGCGAATTCTCATACAGACTTGAATAAATTACCAGCACAGAAGAAGAGTGAAAATAACCATTTATTTAATTCAAATAATTAACAGAAAGGCACGATCTTCGTGCTTTACAATGGCACCGTCAACTTGCAGTGAAAATGGCACCGTCAACTTGCAGTGAAACTGAAACGTAGAATATAATTCAAGTCAAAATCTAAAATAAAATAGTACTGGATTAGCACGTTAAGTTACGCCTAACAGGTTGACTCAACAAAAACCTAACAGGCGTGACGATAATCCGAAATGGCCAAGAGGCTTACTCGCGTATCAGCAAGATAGCAACGAAACGTGCGCTGGCTAACGAAAACACGCTCTGAGTAAACTTTCTAATAATTAATAATAAATTAGTAATAACAATAAAACCGGAAAGCCCATGACTTTTGACCATCCAGATAAGCAGATTTCGCAGTTGCAGACGAAAGAAAAAAAAAAGGCAATCCTTGCAATGATGGTAATGCAGTTCTTGGTTGCGAGAGTTACTCACCGTGCTTGAGCACTCGGTCAGCCATCGGAACTAGAACTTTAGTTGGGGGTCTTCAAGTTCCTATAGGAACTTCTGTTCGAGACGGAAAGTTTTGACCAGCTTGTCATGAGAAGAACTACCTGCTTTCTCACAGAAACCATATAAGACCTAGAAATGCCATAGTGTCGAGGAAACGTTACCAGCATTAAGGAGCGTCGGAAACAATTTTATCATTATTTAACTTTCTTTGCGTATTCTTCCTAATGCTGAATATTTCTTAATATATTCGTAGAACCTCTGGATGCATTACTAGAAGCCAGCTACTTTCTTTGCACCAACAGCGAAGCAGCCGATCCACTGGGGCAGTTAGTACATCTGCCAGATAGCTCCGTTGACGGAATTAACTTGGTCCACATAATGCACTTTGGTGCATATTGGGCTCAAGACGATTCTCATATCTTTACCTGCAAAATTCATAGAGTAAATTCAGTATTCCTGCAACTGAACGTAATTCGTGAACAAATGTATTGACTTAGATCTCTTTTGAGTTCCTGGTCGAATTTCACTTTTTTTTTTTTTTTTTTTTAACCAAATTCTGAAAGCCGCCGAAAAAGAAATTGTTCAATTTGGCGATTTAAGATTTCTCATTAGGTAATCTAACCTAACTTAAGTCTAATAAGTAGTACCGCCAAGCTGACACAACCGGCAAATTAAAACAAACCAAATAATGGAAGACTGGAACTAAAACTACAGATGAGGATAAATCGTCCTTCCACTCGCTCTCCGCAGAAGATGTGTCGACCTTTATTCAGAATAAAGCATACTTATAAATCTCATTAGGTAAAACGGCATACCTTATAAAATTTGTATCTGGTTTCATGGAAATATTTGTTACTGATATTTTCATAAATTGTGTACATAAAGGTGTGACAGAGTTGTATTTAATTTAATAAAGTGCAATGAACATTCTGTAAATTGTAATCTTCACTCTACTTGAACCTCATAACAAGTTCCTATTTACAAAACTCTATAACCTATAGTGTTAAAACAGTTATATAAAAATTGTCCACATCTTTGAAGTTGGAGGCGCATGTATGAGATCATTAGTATTTAAAGACATCAACTCTTTAGCTACCTTTTCCAATATTTACTCATAAATGACATGAAGTACTTTTCTGTTTGTGTCGATAAATATTTGAGCAATAAATACCAACTTACCTTTCGTACTTATGTAGCCATACCCGAGGTACATGTCATTCCAAAGCTGCAATCTCGAGCTCCAGGAGAGCTTGCAGAGATGGAATGTCATGTGATAGGCGTGCCTACCCCGGCCGTCTCCTGGCTCAAGAATGACGAGGAGCTCAAACTGATGTCGGACAAGTACACCATAGTTGGTAAGTACTTGCACATTCTTTTTGCGTTTTGGTTTCTGCAACACCGGCTGCAGATGTTGCAGAAACTAAGAAATACTCTTGCCAGCTGATGTTAATGACATTTTGGATTATGTTACAGGCAATGGAACTGCCCTACTTGTTGGAAAGATCACTTATAGTGACACGGGAGCGTATATGTGTGTGGCCAGTAATCCTGCTGGCATGACGAGGGACATCACTTCCCTCATCGTACAAGATCAACCAACACCAAGTAAGTTCTCCTTAATTTATTTAGCTTTGCTGTTGTTTGCTCTTTGGCGTCTTGCAGTTGTCCAAAATGTTTAATGGCATGCTTATTTGCGTGATTGAGATGTAGAATATCTTCAACAAACAAAAACAGGCCGAAGAGGGAGGTTTAATTTGTAAGACCGATGGTATTATCACCAATGGATCTGCAAGAGTACATTGTAAAACAGAAGTAAATACGGTCTTCATGTAAACATGTTGCAAATGGTACATTGTAAAACCAATGGATCTGCAAGAGTACATTGTAAAACAAGCAGAAGTAAACGCAGTCTTCATGTGAACATGTTGCAAATGGTACATTGTAAAACCAATGGATCTGCAAGAGTGCATTGTAAAACAGACAGAAGTAAATGCGGTCTCCATGTGAACATGTTGCAAATGATACATTGTAAAACCAATGGATCTGCAAGAGTACATTGTAAAACAGGCAGAAGTAGATGCGGTCTTCATGTGAACATATTGCAAATGGTACATTGTAAAACCAATGGATCTGCAAGAGTACATAGTAAAACAGGCAGAAGTAAATGCGGTCTTCATGTAAGCATGTTGCGATTGGTTAGGTTAGGTTAGGTTAGGTTAGGTGTAACGTCAAGGACCACCTATTATTTACCCTGAGTATGTTGGTATAGGCCCTGTGTACTAGCTATCCAGAGTAACAACGCCTTCCTAGGACCCACGGTACCATTCTGGTGCCGAAGTATCGAATCTTTGCATAATGATTAGGTGTTGCAAATGGTATGAAACTAAAAAAAAAGTTACATACTCTTTCAACCTCAGGAATGCATAGTACTGTACGCAGATCTGTTAGTCATTAAAGGAAGGCATACTGTGTGAATAGAAAATGGCAAGTGGTTGTAACACACACTGTGAAAATCATAGAAACCTTGTGCAAACTGTTCTTCACCCTATTGGTATTAAATCCATGACTCGTTAGTTTATTTAGTAGTCTCTGAAGAATTAAAAATAGGAACTTTGAAGTGTAATTTACCCTGTGGGAAATTTACCTGTGGGAAGTGTAATTTACCTGTGGGAAATTATGATTAAAGAATGTATACAAATGGCCGCATATTTTATATTTATGATATAAAAGCAGAGAATAAATTAGGTTAAATATTTTTTTTTTAATCTGAAAGTTTTCAGATTTTATATTATGCCAATTACGATTTTTTTTTAAAGTTATGTGTTATTTTTATTTATTAAATATCACGTTCTTCGTACTTTAACCATAAAATTCGATTCAACAGCAACATCGCAAAATAATTTAAAGAGAGCATATCTTTAGAATTTCCGATACACAGTCTTGCGCGCTAGAGATAATTATTTTTTTTTCATGCACTATTGACAGTGCTCGCTTTGAAATCGATGAGTTTGTTAATCAAAAATTCGTTAAAAGTTTTACAAAAAAAGAAATAGATAATAAAACAAATTCCAAATTTGGGCTTTCAGATGCGATGCCCATATTCGGGGGGAGGATTACGTTATTCAAAATTCGATGGCTCTAGGTATCGTTGTTTTACCATAGTCCGAGAAACATACATACATTTAGGCAGATTCTTCATTATTTAATTTCTTTAAATGTAATACAGGGCGATAATATTCATGGCAACAATTTGAAAAGTGAAATGCCGTTTATAGTGATTCGATGCAAAGTGCTAAAACGAAATTAATAGCCCTTCTAGGTTAAAAATTAATTTGGCTATTACTGTTAAGATTGGAGGGAAAAAATATGGGCTGTGAAGTATATGCTTATGAGCTAATATTGTAATATTTTTTACACCATCTCTTATGTTTGTAGGAATTTACTTATATAAATACAACAAAGTATTTTTTGCTAAGTACAAACAATAGGAAGAAATAATCTTTTAAGAGACTATTAAGTATACAAGTAACAGATTGAAAATGAAGTTTCGTCATCAATTTTTTTTATGATAATCTGAATACGTTTCAGTTGTTAATGTTATTATGATGTTATGTCAGCTTTTATGGTTTTTAATCCAACATGTTCCAATAAAAAGGCGATATTTGAATTGAGTGCCATTTTCGAGAAAATTAGGTGAGAACTATGTGTAAACAGTTAATAAAGTGTATGGAGGGATCGTGTTGGATGGGTTCGTAATTTATTAACAAGTTACACAAGGACCTCACATATAATTTTGCAAAAGTCTAATATAACCTATCAGGCTTATCACCTGGCTTTTGCTGAAGTCTTTCTCTGGCTACTCTACCAGGGTACACCCTTGTTCCTAGTGTGTGTGCATCATAGTTTATATTAATATAGAATATTGTATATAGAAATAGAGAGAGGATGTATAAATATATCTTATATTATATATATAGAAAATATTATATACATCGAATATTATATATTTATAAAGGGATAATGTATATATATATATATATATATATATATATATGTAAGAAAAATAAAGAATATATTAAAGATTAAATTAGCAGCGTAAATTGCCCGTCTCTATTCTAAAAATAGTAACCCCTCTATGCACTGCGTCATTTCGAGACTAATCTATGTCATATGATTCTTACGTAATTCTGGTGATGTAAACGGAACTGAAATTCTTAACAGCCAATAATAATTTTACAGCATTATTAACCATCCAATCAGAATGCTTTGAGAACCAAAACTAACTCAGTCTGACTTGAGATTTCATCCTGAACATTTCGCACTTGTTTTCCACGTTTTGGCCTAGCTACATTGCTGTCTGCTCTGCTTTCTTGCTACAAAATTATCAAAAATGTAAGCCTTTTGGAACAGGCACATTTAATGTGCCGACTTGTGTATAGCTGCAACATGTCGTCGAAAACAAAACTGAAGATTTAATCTGCATTCGCCTCCAATTTTCCTAATCGTTATGGATCAGCATTCTATGACATCCAAATTCCTCCTCCTGAATATATTACATGTATATATTATATATATATCTACCTCCAATTTTCCTAATCGTTATGGATCAGCATTCTATGACATCCAAATTCCTCCTCCTGAATATATTACATGTATATATTATATATATATCTACCTCCAATTTTCCTAATCGTTATGGATCAGCATTCTATGACATCCAAATTCCTCCTCCTGAATATATTACATGTATATATTATATATATATCTACCTCCAATTTTCCTAATCGTTATGGATCAGCATTCTATGACATCCAAATTCCTCCTCCTGAATATATTACATGTATATATTATATATATATCTAATATTATATGTATCTAATATTATATATATATATCTAATATTGTATATAATAGTATATATATGTATTAATATGTATTAATATAAAATTTATATTAACAGGAACGGTCACAAGTGTATATTATTTTGGGTCGAAAATTATTCATTAAATCGGTCAATAAGTGGAAAGAATTCTTAAGAAATTCGAGACAATAAATAAAGTTGTGAACATTTAATCACCGGCGCGTTAAGAACCTACTGGTTTCTCAAACATATAGCCGCAGGGCGTTAAAATGTTGCCATTTGGCACGACAAGAAAAGGGAGAGATGCCGCGTGGAGGACTTTCTTAGGGAAAAGTCCAAGTTACAAATGAGGAAAGCCACGTAAACGCCCATGTAGCCAGCCCATTGCCCGGGACTCGAACCCCCCCCGGACCGAATAACCAATGTTCAATGGCTTTTAGCACTCGGCCGCTGGTGGACTTTAAAATGTTATTGAGAATTACGAAGAGTCTATTTGGTGCATTTCAGAAATCACCTCGCAGAAGAATACCACGAAAGATCTGCACACATGTATGCATCCTTGCAAGATTTAAATCGCATAAAAATTTCAATAAACTAACTACTTGAAAGCCTAAGAATCTTAGCAATCTGACATTAAGTAACCATGAAATAGATAAGAATATTTCCAGCATTTTTTTATTATTATTTATTTATTGTGAACAATTACAGATGTAACCTAGTCCATTAACCTATACAAGGCCGGATGTGTTGGTCTCTTTATTATGGAGGCACCTAATAGTTGGGCCACCATCGCGTTTCCTATGAAGGGACGGATAGTTACAACCATGCCTTCCCCGGGATTCGAGCCCAGGCCCTTCGACATCGCAGTCAGCTTCCGATACCGACTGTACGGCTTTCCAGCATAATTGTCTTTAGCGATGATGCTTACTTTCACCTAAACGAGAAATGAATAAGCAAAGCTGTAAGATTTTCTGCGCAGACAATTCATTAGAAGCCAACTTAACAGCCAGTGAACCACTCTTTGGTGTAAATGTAGGGTTTTTAGGTAAAGTGGGCCAACAAAAATCCTGGAGAGTATTTTGTAGGATATTAGTTGGTGGTGTGTTGAATTATGGCAAAGCACACGAGGGCTATCTGCCTAAGGGAAGGGATGCCTTCGTGGACGACTTTCTAAGGGAAACTGGCTCGTATACACGTTACACATGGGAAAAACCACGAAAACGCCCATGCAGTCAGCCCGTTCGCGGGATTCGAACCTCGGACCGAACTACCAGTGTTCAGCGACTTTACCGCTCGGCCGCTGATGGGCCTATCGGATATTAGGCTCCATACTTAAAATCGTGGTTACTCTGTACTCAGAGAAAACTAGGAGTTTTCAAATAAACGAAGTTTTTTGCGCTCGTACAATATTTCTGAGTGACAAAATTAAAAAGATTAAGTTCAGAGTAACTGTTTAAATCTTGTTTAAGGCATTCTATAGTAATTTAAGCTCTAATAATGCTTTATCTAATTACCGTGGAGCCGTCAAATACAGTGAAACGTTTTATAAAAAGGATTTAGAAATTATTTATAAATTTTATTCACGCATTTATAAGCTATGTTCTCTTTCCTTAATATACACTGAAGTGACAAAAGTCATGGGATAGCAATATGCAAATATACAGATGGCAGTAGTATCGCGTGGAAAATGTATAAATGCGAAGTGCTTTGGCAGGGCTTTCATTTGTGTTCAAGTTATTCATGTGAAGAGGCTTTGACGTGATTATGGCCGCACGACGAGAATTAACAGACTTTGAACGCGGAATGGTAGTTGGAGCTAGACGCATGGGTCATTCCATTTCGGATATCGTTAGGGAATTCAACATTCCGAGATCCACAGTGTCAAGAGTGTGCCGAGAGTATCTAATTTCAGGCATAACATCCCACCATGGACAGCGCAGTGGCCGACCACCTGCACTTAACGACCGAGACCAGCGACGTCTGCGTAGAGTTGTCAATGTTCACAGATTTGCAACACTGCAAATAACCGCAGAAATCAATGTGGGACGTACGAGGGACGTGTCCGATAGGACAGTACGGCGAAATTTGTCTTCCTTGGGCTATGCCAGCAAAAGAGCGACTCGAGTGCCTTTACTGACAGCACGACATCGCCTGCAGCGACTCTCGCGGGCTCGTGAGCATATCGGTTGGTCCCTAAACGAATGGAAAACCGTGGCTTGGTCAGATGAGTCACGATTTCAGTTGGTAAGAGCTGATGGTAGGGTTCGAGTGTGGCGCAGACCCCACGAAGCCATGGACCCAAGTTGTCAACAGGGCACTGTTCAAACTGGTGGTGGTTCCATAATGGTCTGTGCTGTTTTTACATGGCATGGACTCGGTCCTCTGGTGCAACTGAACCGATCATTGACTGGAAATGGATACCTTCAGCTACTTGGAGATCACTTACAGCCATTTATGGACTTCACGTACTCAAACAACGATGGGATTATTATGGATGACAATGCGCCGTGTCACCGGGCCACAATTGTTCGCGATTGGTTAGAAGAATATTCTGGACAATTCCGGCGAATGATCTGGCCGCCTAGATCGCCCGACATGAATGCCATCGAACATTTATGGGACATCGTCGAGAGGTCAGTTCGTGCCCAAAACCTTGCCCGTCAACACTTTCACAATGATGGACGTCTATAGAGGCAGCATGGCTTAATATTCCTGCAGGGGACTTCCAACGACTTGTTGAGTCCATGCCACGTCGAGTTGCTGCACTTCGGCGGGCAAAAGGAGGACCGACAAAATATGAGGTATCGCATGACTTTTGTCACTTCAGTGTATATATTGGTTCCAACGTAGGGTTTCCCTCAGTTCAATTAACCTATTATTCAAAGTTTTGTTATCTTTCCTGAAATCCTCAACTTCCTGTCGCATTTCCTCGACAAGATGCTAATTTAAAGTTAAGTGATGTGAGCATTTAAACGGGTGAATCTTGGATTTTAATTGAGAGCGTGTTTTTGCTAGCCAGCGCACATTTCGTTTCTGATCTTGCTGCCACTCTGATGCGCCTTTTGGCAATCTGAATAGTTATCAAGCCTGTTATGTTGTCGAGTCAACCTAGTTAAGAGTAAGTTAAAGTGCTAGTCCAGCACTATTCTTTTAGACTTCACGGCAAGCTGTCGGTGTTATTATAAAGCACGATGTACGTGCCTTTCTGCTCATAGGTGAGAATAATAAAGCGTAATTTTCATCCTCCTTCCGTGCTGGTAGTATTTCATGCCTGTGCGTGGTCGCCAGGCTTTTAAGTAGGATCTAGTGTTGTTTATGTGGCGAAAGAGAGTGAGATCCTGTAAGTCATCCTTTGAAAGGGGGAGTATGTAAGGTATTATCTCCTCCTTTCTGCATGCCTTCGTGTTGTAACTGAAAACACGCTCGACGAGTATTCGGGAGGTCCGGAACTGGAATCCCAGGAAAGGCACTCAAAAACCTTTCCTGACCTCAAAAAAATTTTGCAGGGTTCTGCACTTCCTTTCAAAACAAAAGGTATAAATTCGGTTAGCTTTAATTTTAATTTTCTAAAGTAATTAAATTTGTGACTGTATAAATATTATCGATGGAATAGGTTTTCTTAAAAATTTAAGTGCTGCTGACTGATTAATTTTCTGCCGTTGAACACGAAAACTATTATATAAATTATGGAACTGTGTGTATTAGGTGGTTATATATAAAAGCATAAAACCTCTCATAAAATTTAAAAGATTTCGTATGAAAAGCAACCAAATGCCTGAAGGGCAGGATGAACCTCAAAACAGCAGCAATAAATTCCATTAATGATGTTTCTTTCAATGGTCGTAGCTTCTTAAGAATTCGTAATAAAATGCAGTAAAGAGTTTTCGCTTTTGCTTTTAAAGTAATTTTTAAATACCAAGCAGTAAAATAAATGCAGAATAACAAGCGTCCGGAAAGATTAAAGAATCAGATCAAAAAGATAAAGAAATAAAAAAAAATCATTACATCTTTATCAAATCGAAAAGCCTTGGGCGTTTTCTTTACCATTTTCTTTTCAGAAAATCCGTAATTCGGTAATATCTCAAACAAGCGTTTGTGTAAGTAAGAATATGTTTTGTATTATTTAATTTTAAGGAATAATAACGTGAATATCCAAACTTCTGCCGCGATTAAGAATTTAAGCGATTGTCTAATTATGCAAAGAATTTTATTTTGCAATATTTATAATCGATCAAAATCTGTTATTCCTTTCTACACTTAGGTGGATAAAGCATGTAGTAAAATAGTCGAGATTTCAATCCTACGTAACAAGCAACTCGCCAAGCAGACATAGAGTTCATTCTACTAAAATTTTTGGCACTTTTCCACTTCGCAGCGCAAATCTCGCCGAACAAACTTGGCGACAACGCACAGTAGAAATTTTAAAAAAATTAATAATGCTGCAAATCTCGCCAAGCAGACTCTCGGCAACACACAGTATACGCATAAAAAATGTTAACAAATGTTAGTTCTAAGAATTTTTTACATTCAAAGCATAAACATTTTAATATCCTTTAAAATTTTTTCAAGCGGGTCCTTCGTTTCCCTTCTCCGCATAAATTTCGCAAGGCTTCCAGATCATGAAATGGTGCCGTTCCTCTGTGTTTCTTATTTCGCCATTTGGCGCTACTCTACAGTCTTTCTATTTTTATGTGTACGTTCCAGTTTTCTGATCGATAAAATTGTATTTATGGTCGATTTTGAAATGTTCGAAACTTTCCTCTTCCAGTTTTTCAGTGCAGCATGATTCTCAGGAATCGGAATATGGTATAGTTCCTTTTTCGATATTTTCCTTAATTGCTTCTAATTTAATGCTCATGGAAAGGTTTGGCACCTTTATAAGGAAACATTCGTTTCTTTCAAGGCAAACTCTACCAAAGATGCACAGTTGAGGTAGAATCCGTCCCGCATTGTTTTTTGCGCTTCGTGGACATACTTTCATCCACTTCGGCCATCATACCAGGTCCATACCAGGTCTTCGGCCATTATTTTCCGTCGTTGATGTTTAAGCAAAGAATTAGTTATTCCAATCCACAAATTGTTCCATGATTGCTTTCCACCTACTCTTCACACCCTTTAACTGAAGTTAATTCTTCACTCAAACCATAAATAAGTCTCACACACTTCAAGAAACGCAATTTCGGTGGCTCAAACCATGTGCCTTTCTGTATACTTCTTTTACCGTGACAAGTTGAAAGGTTGCGCCACCATTGAATTTCGTTTCCGAAATACAATTTCCTCTGATGATTATTATCACTTGTAGCAAAGGTAAAACGCCTTTCGCTTGAAAGAATATGACATTCTTCCACTGTTCTCGGCAAATCCCAAATTTTAAATGGTTTTTCATCCATTTTTGATGTATTAGGAAAAAGACGTGAATTTAAGAATTCATTGTGCTTTCATGGTAGAACATCCACGTGACCCCAAGTGATGTCATCTCACGTAAACTACACTACAAAAATCTAACTCCTTCAGCAATTATCTACATTAATTTCAAGTTAAATCTTAGCTTCAGTGTACAGATACTATAGACATGCTTGTTTACAAGAATACCGCCAAAGCACAAATCATGTCAGTCTACTATCCGTAGATGTCGGTCCAAATTGTATATAAATTTTTCTTTTAAACTCCAAATGTATGCAAACCAGAACTTTCAGTTTCAATTTCTATAAACATGCCCACCTTATTTGCAGTGTTATCCAGCACACATAAATACCATATTTTTTTAGTAATTATTACTTTGCGTGATGCTGCAAGAAAACTTGCATGAATTATCATTACTAGCTTGAGAATTACATCCTTGCTTTGAGAATTATTTATTCATTAGCATTCTGGTTCCTTTCAGTAACATTGATTTGATTCTGTGCAAGAGATACAAGTGCTTAGAAAAATCTTATGCCTTTTCAACCATCGCCCGCAGATAACATTCATTGAGCACCTAATATACAGTGTGTCCGAAAAAGAATGTACCCTTTTTTTAATTTTTTTTTCCAGGTACCCAGTGTGTAGAGAGTGGTGAAAAGTGGCTTGAAAGTTACTAGATAATCCAAGTTTTGAAATACCCGCCTTTCCTGTGTGGGGCTGCGTATGAAGGATTGCCGAACTCTATCAACTGTTTTCTCCGAAAGCGGTCGCCCTGTGCTTTTATTATTAGTTGTGTATGCCAACGTTTGATTGAGTTCTTGTTCGGTGGATCTAGCCCAAATTGTCGCCGAAAGTTGAGTTCAACTGTGATAACAGACATTGTTTTTGCGTATTCCACAGCACAAAATGCCTTCTCTGGTTTGGTGGGCGCCATCGTGACAATTTTGTGCACACAGGAAAGGCGGCTATTTCAAAACTTGAAGTATCTAGTAGCTTTCAGGCCAATTTTCACCACCCTCTACACACAGGGTACCTAGAAAAAAAATTTGGAAAAAGGGTACATTCTTTTTTTGGACACTTTGCATAATTGTTGCAAGAGTAGGAGGACGCTCAACAAACTCGAAGAAGGCGATGAAGCAAAATGATCATTAAGAAGATGGGACAGTGGGCCTAAGATGGCTGGGAAACTATATTTTAATTTATCATTCTAACTCAGTTCTTTTGTATCTTGCAGCCGCCCCATCCGAAGAGCGCAGGTTCTTTGTATTCCACGATTGGGGTGTGTCCGTCTTCGACCCCGACAACTGTCGGCTATACCACCAGATACAGAGCACGGACGTCATTCCCGGGACGCAGGAATACGTGTGCGGCGACCGGGGCATCAACTGCTCCTGGGGGCATGCCATCAACGTGGCTGACCGGTACGTCTACGTGACGCAGCCCACCAAGGATCGAGTGCTCATTATTTCCAGGGTCCAGATGGTCGTCGTGGACGTAAGTATGGAAAAGAAATGTTTTTGAAACATTACTACAGTCAAAAGTCGTTAATTCGGACACCCATAATCCGGAATGATCTATAATCCGGACCTCAAAGCTACAAACTTTCTGCGCATGCGTCGCGTTCACGCATGCGCACAGGCGTTTAAGAGTGCGCGTAAGACCTTTACGTCTGCGAATATGTTTGTGCGCATGCGCGTTTAATGTGTAACGGAGGTATAAGCTAAGCTAAAAATTCAGTTAATGTTGCAGATTGAGTTGTTCCTTAATCTTCGAATTGGATCCGGCTTATTATTTTTTGCAGACTGTTAGAGCAATTTCATAAAAGTAAGCTTGAACTTTCGATTATGTCAAATAGAATTTCCGATATATATTTACTAATATGTAATTTGTATCTACAAAGCGAAAGTATGTTTTGAAATCCGAAATCTGTTTATCAATTTCATTTCACGCGCGCGCGCAATGAATTGGAAGTTGATCTGTCAGCACTATTTTTATCTTCAGGGCAGATGTTTTTATTTTATTTGGCTTATAATTCCTTACTAAGTGTAGTATTTCATTTCGATGTACTCCGTCTTTGATATGATTTAAATCAAGTTCCTCGTCATTATAATTCGCTTCCGATAGTGAAGAAAGTGACCCAGAGGTTATTAAATTGACCCAGAGGTAATTAAAGAGAAAGTATTATCACATGAAACGAAGCAACTTACATTGAAAGAAATGCTTAATAAAGTAAACAAATAAATATTAAGCTTTTTCGTTTTGTAAATTTTGATACCCTTTAGATCATAATTGTTCTTTATTTCATAAATTACGGTTTCATAATTTTAATTTTGTAATTTCTGCATGCCATCTTACCAGATTTAAACTGATGATCTATAATCCGGAAAAATCGATAATCCGGAATCGCCGAAGTCCCGACGAGTCCGGATTAACGACTTTTGACTCTATAAGCAATCTTTTCTTCCCTCCCAACTGCCTTAATAAAGAAAATCGGTTCGGTGAATCAGTTCGTGGACGAATACCACATCTTTAGTTCCTATGCGTCATGCATATAAGGAAAAATTTAACTTTAATCAGTGATAGCTTCTAAAGCATATTTTTTATGTAGTTATTTTCCTTTTATATTTTTAAAGTAGTAAAATACTTATAATATTTTTTCTGAAGTGCATCATTCCAAAGTTAATGGCTGTCATATGATTGTTATTTGATTAGTTGGCATATGTACTGGCATAAAGTAAGGGTAAAATCAACCCTCCCACAATATTCAAACTAAAACTATTATCAAACATCTATTGAAAAATAAAGCAGCTTTTCCTCTTTTTAAATTATCAGGGTTACATAATCGTGTATCTCTTCTTTTAAAGTTTCTCTTTGTTTAATAAACGTGTAGTTAATACACAAAAGTCTTTCTTGTATTACCGCAACTTTAAATGATAAATTCTAAGCTAGAAATTATGAAATAACGGATGCACCTCTCTCCGCACCTGCGTTGCATCGTTATGTTTATTAGCTTATAAACTATGTTTACATTAATATGATCTGCATAAATCCACAAATGCCTTAAATAATTAATATTTAAGGCACTTAATATAACAATACACATGATACACAATAACTTAAATACACAATAACTTAAATAATATTTAATACACAATAACTTAAGTAATATTTAAGAAAAGAGTCTTCCTCCTGCAGCAGAATCCTGTTTATAACATTTTACATCATTCACTAAATTTTTATCATGTCCATATACACACATTGGTCAATGAATTAGAAACGTAAGATCAATATTTTATTGGGCTTGTTTTTTTCACGGATAACTGCTGTGATTCATTTGGGCAGGCATCAAATCTCCATGCTTCTGGAGTGCATTTACGTCCAGAGAATACAATGCTTTGGCTATGCAGCTTTGGCTATGCAGGTATTTGGCAGAGTACTGTCGAATGCATCTTTCCACCATATCCCACACATTTTCTATGGGGTTAAATTTCCGGCTATGCGGTGGCCAAGGAAGGTGTTGGAAGTCCGATTAATGTTCAGTGAACCAATTTTGAGCACTTCTGGTTCGACGTGTAGTTACATTATAGTCCATGAAGTATTCTTCGTCATCAGGGTAAAAATGCAACATTGCAGGGTGCACGTGATCTGCCAATTTATCTAGGTACCTCATGGCTGTTTGTTTACCCTCGAGGAGTACCAGGACACCACTTCCATGCCAGCAGAACATGCCCCATATCATGATACTCTCACCATACCCTTGCACAGTGCGAGTAAGGCAAGATGTGTTCATGAGGTTCTCGCCAAATTCGACGTTTTCCATCAGTGCAAAATAAGGTGTAGTGTGATTCATCAGACCTATTTACCAGTTTCCAATCCTCAGATGTTGAGTGTCATCTTTCCCAACACCACTGCAAATGAATTGTTGCATGTCGGGCAAAAATGAGTGGTTTTCTCACAAGCACCCAGCTATACATACCTATCCTCTGCAATTCTCTGCTCATGGTTCGAGCTGAAATCTGTTGGGAAGAGGCATGGTTGACTATCTGTGTCTGTTGAAGCACAGCAGAGTCTCCGTTCTGCTGTACAATTCGTCAGAGACGTCGCCGATCACTCTCTATGCTCGAAACACTGTTACTTCCTCTAGAGAAGGGCTATGGTTCTAATTCCAACTTTTGAAATCATTTGATATGGCTGCTTTTGAGACAGTGAAATTTGTTGTCTTCAAAATCGAGGCTCCTGCTAAACGGGCACCAGCAATAAGCCCTTTTTCAAATGGTCAAAGATCTGTCGTTTTTCTCATTTTACTTCATTCGTCATGAAAAGCTCTCTTACAGTACGAAGTCCGTAATCCGGACGTCCATTATCCGGAATGATCTATAATGTAGACCTCTAAGCCACAAAGTTTACACATGCACGTAAAGAATGTGCATACATTACGCATGCGCGCGTTGAAAGACATGTTTAATAAAGTAAAGAAATAAATATTAAGCTTTTTTTGTAAAATTTGATACCCTTTAGATCATAATTGCTCTTTATTTCATAAATTACGGTTTCATAGTTTTAATTGCATAATTTCTGCATGCTATCTTACCAGATTTAAAGTGATGATCTATAATCCGGAAAAAAACCCTACTCCAGAATCCCCGAAGTCCCGACGAGTCCGGATTACAGACTTTGTACTGTATTAGCGTTCTAATCACGTGTAACCCATTTCATAAAAAAATGCATACTTCATCCCTAGCACTCATTCAAATGAAAATCTCAAAGGTTTTTAATTCATTGGCCAGTGTGTGTACTATACACGTTACACAAACACTCGTGTGTAAATACGCACATACACCTACAGATATGTAAATTTTATAATAGCCTTCTACTTGTATTAAATACACATACTTGTATTTTAAGCACACTGTATAACTAAGTGTTAAGGGCATTTGGGTTCAGTAAATTGCTAATGTTAGACTAAATTAAAGATATGTTATGCATCTATGGCTTTAATAGAAACACTCACTGTGGTGATTTCTGCATTGAGCTAAAGTTCTGGGTTAATCTTCATACTTTCTAATCTCTTTGCATTATGTTGGGGAGTGCCACTAAAGGTATAGGTTATTCATCGCAGCTTCTGATTCCATTGCGCCACGTAGAATAAATGGGAATTATTGCTGTTACATAATTAACTGATCTATTTAACAGGTCAGCGATAATTTTAACAACCAGAGGTATGATTTTTTTAACATTCGAAATCAATAAATAAATAGAACTTGACACATGGGCATGCGCACATGAAAGAAAGCATGGTCGATATTCCATTACAGTTAATTCACATTCTTATGGAGGTTAATTTATGTATCTTTTCTTTCCACATGCAGGTTGTGGTAACGGACAAAGTGCCTGTAGATATTCATTATGTTCCTCACCTGGACCAAGTATGGATTTTGTGCTGGAGGGGCAAACAAGATCGTGGAACGAAGACAATTCAAATCATACGAGACGCAAGCCAGAAGAAGAAACATCATACTGTTCACCCAGAACCCGTGGATGGCCACTTTGATCTAGTATGATAACTTTCATTCGTTTTTCTCAACTACATCAACTAATAGAATTTTTAATTCCTGTTATAGCTGTATATTTTAGTAAGACAGATGAAACCATTAGCTACTCAGGCTAGAATTGTAGTGGCCTAATTATTGCATGAGAAATAATTGTTCTTAATTTCAGGTATTTTATATTTTTGCATGTGTTTAATTATTTCATAAAATTATCTTTAACATTTTGTTAATATTTATTTCTATTTCTTTTACGTTGAATGGCAACAAGTAATTATTCATCTTCATATTTATAATTCTTATACGCTGAATGGCAATGAGTAGTGATTCATGATTACTTTTAGTTTTTGAATGTTCTTATTCTAGCAGCAGCTCATTTTTGGTTGCTGAAAAATAAAAGCAATAAATTTAGCTATTTGTTTGTAATTTTTGCTGTTCCTAATCATAAATTAGTTTGAATGTCAGTAGCCGAGAATTTATACTTGTAAAGAATTAAAAATAATAATCCCCATGTGCTTTTTATCGTAATCGTCTGCACATTGAACCTTTTATTCAAAAATTCCCTGCTTGACTTCGGTAAATTTTACAAAATATAATTCAAAATATTTACAAATATAATTTACAAATTTTACAAAAATTCAATTTTACAAAATATAATTTACAAAATATAATTCGCTCTGTAACCACTGTCAATGTGAGGACTGTTAAATTTTCTGTAGCCGATAATTTTGAATAAACAGCAATAGGAATCGAACTGCGAATCTTGTAGTTGCTAGATGGATGTGCTAACCATTTACACCTGAAAATCATGTGTGGGTGCAATTAATTCTCTAAATTTTCTGCTGAGGGTTATGAAATAAATTCCAGACTAAGCAGTCTCTGGTCTGTATAGTTCCAGACTATAAACCGCCAAAAAGAATGGTCTGTTAGTCCAAAAAAAATGTGCAAAATAGGATTAAGTTCTTCACAAGGGTAACTAACTAACTAAGATTTTTACCACAGCTCGTGAACCCAATCACATTCTGGGAACGGGAAAAATCCCGAAAGCGTCACCCACCGATGACTTGAAACACTCCTGCTGGGCCCAGGGTCCCACACCCCCGAGACACCAACAATTTTATGGTACCCTTTATTAATCGCTCAACGATTAAAAGCCCACCGCTAAACACGGGCCGGTCAAGACCACCGTCCCTCCCGGACCGAGACCACGGTGGGGTGGGAGATGGAAACTTAGGGTCGATGAACGGCCATTAATTTGGGCTACCTGCCAGTACTACACGGGATGCCCCTCTCCTTAGGCTTTTACATGGAATACCAAGGACAGCAGGGACCAGACGCTCAATGGCCCAGTTTGCTATTTGGCTACCAATACCCTGGCGGAAGGGACTTACACCTCCCGGCCCATGAAGAGCAAGTATAAACCTACCCCATGGACCATCGGGAACCGCCAAGTTCATAAGATATTTGTGGGGAATAACTGTTACGAAAACGTCTTTATATTAGTATGCAAATTCGTCTAAATAATAATAGCGTGAAAATGCTTTGCAAAGTTAAACCTGAGTTTCTGTAGGATGCTTCGCTGAATCAGTAGTATCATGGGACAATACTTGTATCACCATGTGGCAAAATTCTGTTGTCTCCTGTATACTTATTCCTGTTCTGTGCCCTAGATGGTAGAGCGGTTAATGAGGCTGAAAGCATACCGATGGACATGTGTTCGAATCCTGGAGAAGGCATCGATGTTTATAAGCTTATAGTGCCTGTGCGGCAAGAGGGTACCGCGAGCCGAAAGACCTCTCAAAAGGCGGGTGGTGAAGGGAAGGTGTGAGAAACCTTCGGTTACAGTGGAAAACATCCCGGCAAAAACATCGCGGAAAAATGTCGTGGAGAAAACAACGCAAGGTGAAAACATCGTGGGAGAAAAGAAAGCAAAGAGAAAACATTGCAGCTCTAAAACATCCTGATACAAAATAGCGTGGTTGAAAATAAAGCGGTTAAAAAACTTCGCAGTTTAAAAACATCATCGTCGAAAATATTGTGGTAAAAAATAAAGTACCTACAAATCATCGAGTGACGATACCATCGCACACACGCGTTTTTGAAATCCCATACTGACATATTATGTAACTGACTTTCGTCATAACTAACAAATCGACATCCAAAAAATTGATTGCACGCTATACATGAAAATGTTAATGACACTTTAAGAGTAAATGGAAACAAAATAATGTATAATTTTCATTAAAACAATATCAGATTAAAAAGTGTGAAAGAAAATAATTTGATCATTAACTCAGCAATTTCTATAAAGATAACAGTACTTTTCCGTTTCGGCGGCGCAAATCTCACCAAGAAGACTTTATTGGCGACAACACACAGTATACACATAAAAACAAATGTTAGTTCTAAGAAATTTTTTTATTTTGGAGGCATAAACATTTTAATATCGCTTAAAATTTGTAAAAAGACAATAAATAAAGACAATAAATTTGTAAAAAGACAATTTAAGAATTTACTATGCTTTCATGGTATAACATCCTGATTCGCCGTTTCATACCACGTGACCCCAAGTGATCTCATCTCATGTAAACTACGCCACAAAAATCTAATTCTCTCTGTTAAAACCTACATTAATTTCAAGTTAAATCTTAACTTGGAGTACAAGTTTAAATCCAAGAATTATTTCAATTTGTACGAATGCCTTACTTTGAAATTATTAAAACCGCGATGCTTCTCATTAGAATGGATGACTTTGAACCGTTTTTTCTATATTTTCGCATTTGTGATTGCATCCTAATTGACTTAATTACCGCAAATTTCCTTAGAGCATAAAACTGAACTATCGATGTAATTGTATACCAATATTGAAAGAAACGATCTGATAAGGAATGGCTGCGACTTGTGTTGAAAATGAGGCGTAAAAGGTTATCAGCGAGAATATTCCGTTTGGCACCGGTTGTAACATTTTTGGCGACTTTATCGCTTGCGCCGGGTAAATGGAAAAGTACCGAAATAACCTCATGCAGTTATCTAAGTAGTTTTAGATTGTATTTTTCATAAATAATTATCAGTTAAACTTTATAAAAAAACGGTTAATTAATTAACTATGTAAACTTAAAAAATTATATTGAGTTCCATAAAGTTGCCACTCATTTTCAGTTTTTAATTTTCAGTTTCCTTCTTATTTTTTCAGCAAAGATTTATTAGTTCGTTCAAAAATATGAAATATAGAAGTAAAAGAATCCCTTCTTGCGCTCCCAAATCATTATACGAACATGCATTTACAACTTTTAAAACCTGAAAATGCACGTGTGTGATGTTATCATCATGCGATGACTTGTGGGTACTTTATTTTTCCGCTTTATTTTCAACCACGTTGTTTTAAAACTGCGATTTTTTCTCTTTGCTTTGTTTTCTCTCACGATGTTTTGTACGATGACGTTTTCGCCTTGCGTAATTTTCTCCGCAACGTTTGCATCCACGATATTCGCTGGCCACCAAATGTTTGGGCTGCTTCCCAGAGTGTTCTTGCTTAAAACTAGGGAAAAAGCTTAATAGTTAGTGACGTTCAGCAATACCTCAATCTTCTATGGTACTACAGAGTGTTGCCCGAGCTTCTACCCGTACCAATACTCAGGCGTACAGTCTCTTTATATGAAACTTTCGGCGCACAGCCCTGACAGATACTGTTACCATGTGACATGGCAACCATGAATGTAGGAGTTGTGAAGGTCACTCGTCGATTCTGTTTCGCTACTGTAACAATATACAGATCTCCAGTAGTGGCGGTTGATCGAGCGAGCTCAGGTCTCCGGACATAAGTTTATCCTCTTCGGGATTGTTTCCACATTCGCAAAACTACCGAATCATCAACGCTAAAGTTTGGTTTGTTTTGCTTTCTGCCTAAGAGGAGGGATGCCTTTGTGGAGGTTTTTCTAAGGAAAACTAACTCGTATACCCGTTACACTTGGGGAAAACCATGAAAATGCCCATGTAGCCAGCGCATTCACACGATTCGAACTTAAGACCAAATTCAGCGACTTTACCTCTCAGCCGCTGGTGGTCCCCACCAGTGCTAAAGAAAAGAGAGAAATCTTTAATTGACTGTTCGTTCCATTTAAATGCATTGGACACACATGAGCGCTCACTATCTGCCATTCATCATCTTTCAGACACAGGAACATGAATGTTATTGGAAATTATACTAAGCTTCACCGAGTTATAAACACTTCATATCAGCATTTAAATTATCTTTCTCAAATCGTTCAGAACGTTAGAAACTTCAACGACTGTCTAATTAGCATATGTTTAGGCAGTCGGTTCTGATTGGCTGTAACGTTAGATGCGTCTGCACACTGCCATCTGCATCAGCGGCATATTACGACCAAATTCAAAAATGTTTTTGAAAACTGCTAATTTGCAATGCGTGCTTAACTTTTAGATGCCAGTATACTGTTGCATGCGTACGGGTTCGTAATAGATTGAATGCACAAGTCCTATAAAATGTTAATAATATTTATTCTTATCAAAAGAAATATAACAGAATGCTGAAATTTTCCTCAGAGATATTCGCTTAAGTATTCAAAATATCACGTGGTAATAAACAATAGTTATCCTTCAAACTACTAAAACGTTAAATAGAACACAATCCACAGTTCAGAAAAAGCTAATCTGATCAACAATAACAATAGCAGCTAACTAAACAGCAACTGAGCTGAGATGTCTCTCTACAGCTCTTTAACCCTTTCCTGCATGCTCCTAAAGTCGGAGTTTTGATAATAAAAAAATTTAAAAAAAAAAAAAAAAAAAGGTAGGCAATCTAATTATGCCTAGAGGAGTACACAAGTAAAATTTTGTGAAGATAGCACTTAGCAATTATCATTTTAATTCTGTGGGTGTGTCCAAAGTGGCACACTGATTGAATAGAGCTTTGAAAAGAGTGCTGAAACGAGCATTGTTGTCAATGAACTGACCGATGAGATGCGGAAAAACAAAGAATACAGACTCTCAGTTGTCTAGATTATCGGTGAGCCCGGTCTGGGCACGCCTAGGGTTCGCCGTTTGATTTTAGGCAAGATTTTAAGGTAAAAATTTGAAACTAATATAGAATAAGGAAATTAGCATATAGCCAAAAAAATAACATAGAAATTTCTTTTCAAACAATTCCTTTTACACCCTAAAAAAAATCTGGAAGATTTCTTTGAAAAATGAGGGTCTTAAAAAACTCAACATGGCTAAAATATATGGACTGGTTTGTGTTGAGCTGCCATCTACTGTAAATAAAGAACAAGAACTGTAAATAAAGAGTAACCTATAGTAACCTATGAATCCTTTTTTATTTGATCTTTCTGGGCATACAGAAGGAAATTTTTAGCTGTGTCCAGACCGGACACACTGTGCCGCAAAGGGTTAAAGTTTTTTAAATTGGTTGGGATAGAGTTCTAGTAGTTTCTTTGCTTCCCGAGATTCCTGGAAATCAACAAGAGGATGGAATTACGGTTATAGCTAACACAGTAGTCAATTGCATTTATTTAATTTCAATACAAATAAAAGAGATATCCATTTATTCAATGTTAAATGCACATGCTCTTATATTTTTACTTTTCAGCGTAGCTTTCTCTTAAAAAATTTATCTCGCGCTGCACTGCGCGGGAAATAAAATAATTGTAATTATAATTCTACTAAAAATAGTTAACTAACTACAAAATTCGTAACAGTATTTATGAAACTATTCTAAATACATAGATTTTTTTTATTATGCAAATAAAAAAATTAATCGAAACATGAAATCAAAGTTTTCAGTTTTTCGGGTACTTAGAATGTGCAATTTGGAATTGGTATTTTGGGTGTCAAGTTATGCTTTTGTGTTTAATACTTTGATAAAGCATATTTTTAAAATTTTTATTTTAGGTGAGTGGCCTTTTCATTCCCCCCACTCAAGATTTAGGCCATGGATGGAAATACGGATATGTTGTCCACACTAATCAAAGAGGAATGTACAAGTTAGACTTACAAGCCATGAAATATATAAAGACTGTTGACCTCACACCGTACAACTGTGCTCCAAAAACAGCTGATTTCTCCACACTAGGTAAGATTTTATGTACTGGCACTTAGGTTCCTCACCAGGGGCGTAGCTAGAGGGGGGCAAGGGGGCATCTGTCTCCGGGCGCAGAATCCAAGGGGCGCCAAACTGATGTTACGACATTTTAAAATTAAATGTTTTCCATCCTTGGCAAGCAGTAGGGGGCGCGAAATCTTCAGTTGTCCCTGGGTGCTGAAAACCCTAGCTGCGACACAAAAGAATTGTACGCGAACATGCAATAATGAATTGATTTCATAAATTTAAGAAGCTTCGTATATTATCAGATCCCCTTAACAGAATAGCATTTTGATTTTGAAAGTTTATTTTTTTTAATAGGATGTTCTGTTATAATTTGAGCTTTGTGGCAGCAGAGCTAAAATGAATAAAATATGATAGTTTTAAATCAGGGGTGGGCATTAAGTTGATCGCGATCGGCCTGTGGACCACCAAGTCATTTTGGGGTGACCGCCTTTACTAGAACCTAAGATGCGCATACTAAAAGAAACATATTTATGGAACACCTATGCCAACTAGACTGGAGAATCGGGTTTTCGCAATCCATGCGACTAATGATTTGTTTACTTAAGCAAATGATTCGATTGAATGTGTTAATGACCTTCATTAGAAGCGCATGATAACTAAAAATGTAAGTTATATGTTCTCTTCATTTCTTGAGGAAAACAAAATTTTTCTCCTTCAAAATGGAAAAAACCACTTAGAATCCAGCGCAAGATTAACAGTTAGTAATTACATACTGAGATTTTCAAGACTGCTTAACAGTATGCAGACTAAATCTTCTACTAACTATAACTACGAGAACTAACTTTAAATGAAAATGGTTTATTTTTAATGTATTTTGAATTGTTTGATAAAGAAATGCACCATTTGAAATTATGATATTTGGTTATTATTGCTATTATGTTTGTGTCTTGCGTTTTTGCTTTAAACATGGTTTTAAAAGAATAAGTTTATTTAGCTAGGTAAAGTACATATTCCGTATTTATTACAGTACAAAGTCCGAAATCTGGACTTCCGCGATTCCGGATTTGGGATTTTTCCGGATAATAGATCATCAGTTTAAATCTAGAAAGATGGCATGTAGAAATTATAAAATTAAAAATATGAAATCGCTATTTATGAAATAACGAAGTATTTATGATCTAAATGTAATCTTTGGGTCTATGAGTATCATCAACAAAATCTATTTTTAGCATATGGAAAGAAAATTTTGGTAAATTTTTCCTCGTCAACATTTTTTAGCGCAACTGAAATTTGTAATCATCGCCAAGAGTAATGTCAACATAAAAGGTTACCACACTCCTTTATTATTCCAATACTAACATAAAAAAATTTGTAGGTATCGCTACATGAGTCATTACAGTTGTCATGTTTTGAAAGTAGTATAATAAAAGGAAAGGAAACTATAATAAATAATGACTCGCCAGGTTGGCATCAGATCAACGATGTACACTGCTGGACATTAAAAATGCAGCACCAAGAAGGAGTGGTTAGAAAATTGTGCAAATTTTAGAGTAGACTCGCGTCACTGAGTTATGCGAATGATGTGAAATGCGCAACTCTCCGACGCACGTGAAGTAAGATATAAGGGAAGGAATGTGCAGAATGGGCAATATTCGTATCGTTATTTATGCCAGACGAATTATCGAAGAAAGTTGGTTTTTGTCCCGGAGGATACGTGTAATAGGAGAGAATGCCAGGCCGCCATCAACGAAGGCACTTCCAGCAGATGGACGACTCAGGCGAACACAGTTCGCGTAAACAGGCTCCCGTGCGGTTGCGCTATCCCAGTCTAACAAGATGTTGGAGACTTTCTAAACCTGTATACACATAGCTTGTAGAAGATGCTGCAGAAAGATACCCTGGATGTTCCCGTGTCGACCAGAACCATTTCCCGTCGATTGGTTGAACTTGGCCTGCACTCACGGCGTCCGTTAAGATGACTGCCATTGACCCCACAGCATAGACGCCAACGTTTAGAATGGTGCCGGACTGGAGCGATGTGGATGACAGAATGGCGAAATGTCGTGTTCTCAAGTGAGCCACGCTTCTGTTTATCCAGTGACAGTCGCCGCATACGTGTGTGGCGCCGACGTGGCAGTAACTATGGAACGCCCCACCGCGCGACAACGTGGCATAATGGTTTGGGGCGCTATTGCCTACGATTCCAGGTTTGTCAATGATACTTGGATAATGTACTGCGGCTGGTGATAATCCCCTACCTTCAGGGGCTGCCTAATGCAATTTTTTACCAGGATAACGCCGACCACACAGTGCTCGCATCTTCCAACATGCTCTACAAGGTATACAGATGCTTCCCTGGCCACCGTACTTTCCTGACCTGTCACCAATCGAACATGCGTGGAATGCTATTGGACGCCGTTTGCAGACTCTGCTCCTCCCTCGTTCGGAAGACTAACTGTGGCAAATGGTTGAAAGGGAATGGAGAGCCATCCTTCAGGACGCCATTCGCACTCTTATTGACTCTATGCCTAGGCCTGTTTCTTCGTGCATCGCTGTCCGCTGTGGTCCTACATCCTACTGCGCCGGCGCCGTTGTCGCTGTGTATTCTGACTATCATTTTGAAATAAATATCACTTATTGGTGCTTGCTGTCTCCGTCTATTTTCCAAATTTCATCACTTTCTGACCACTCTTTTTTGGTGTTGCATTCTCAGTGTCGAGCAGTGTATCTGTGTGGAATGTTTGGGTTTGAGATGTATGCCAAGCAGATATGCAGCAATGGAGTCAAATTACTGATCGTACAAATTTATGCTAAAATGGTTGTTTCTTCAGTAACAAGGTATTTTATTTAGTGTTGGAGTGAAATTAAAGATCGGGACAGAATTTGGGTAAATAATGACCTTCTGAACCGAATGAATTCGCAGAATTAAGATTCATGTGTTTTTCTTTTTCTGTAGTTTTTTGAAGTGAACATCGAAGGCTTTAGTTGAAATATCTAGTATTCCTGGTAGTTGATCTGGTATTCCTTTTAGTAGCAAATATGGCTACTACCAAAGGAAACAACACAGTGCTGCTTTCAAATGCAACGTCATTCAGTTTGCGAAAGAAAATGGAAATCATGCTACAGCAAGGATATTTTGGTGTTGGTGCAAGATGGAAAGCATTATGATTACTTATTTATGAATCAGACTATCGATGATTGTGAAAATGAAACAGAATTCGATGATGTGCGTGGAGATGTAACGGAAGATGAACACGATGAACTTATAAGGTATTTCTCCCGCCTTCCTAGCGTGCCTTCGTGGTGTGGTGGTCTGCACACTTGGCCGGTATTCCAGAAGTCCGTGGTTCGATTCCCGGCGAAGGCGTTTGCTCATTTTTCATCTTGCCTGCTTCAAAAAAGTACCTAATGTCTTTACAAACTTTTCATATCATCCGGTAATGAAAATTTGTAAGGTCATAAGCAACATCATTTCTTTTTAAATAAACAGCATTTAGTTATATATAAAAATCTAGTTTTTGTATGCTGATATTTGTTTTGTTTTAATCTATCATATTTATAAATCCGGCATATAACAGGCACCCGTAAATTTCTATCTAATTTTTTTTATTAAAAGTGCATGTTATATGCAGGAATATATGGTATTTAAAGTTCTTTTTTCTGCAAGCTTTGTATAGCTCGACTGTTTTCATTCTTTAAACCATAGTATTGTTAATCACTTTGAAATTGCAAAGTTATTGTTTCTTTATTGTCCATGAGCATTTACTCCTTTCCTATAAGAAACAGGAAAAGGGGGGAAAGTCTGTTAAATATAATAATTCTAAGACATAATTGCAGGAGGTTTTGCTATACTGGAATGCAGGGAGCCCATAACTGGCCGTCCCACTGGGCAAGTTGTACTGGATTATTTGACAGACACTGTAGTGGCACACAAAACGGCACTTTTTGGACGCCCTTACGTATCCCCAGATTCCAGGCATGTCGTAACATTAGAAAGAGGCAATAACAGTGTGGTCATAGTGGCACAGCAGATCACTGAAAATGGTAATTTATTCCACTCATAATTTATTTATGTAATAGTAGTACTCTTATGATATATTATATTTTATGCTATTAAATATCAGATTAAATTTTCTAAAAATAATAATGGGGTTTTCAGTTTTAGTAGAGTTTTGCTTTTGAATTTAATAATATCAGTGTGTATCCATAAACAGTTCAACTTTAGTGTCTTCCTTTAAGTCATAGAACGCATATCTTTCTCTTTGCCTCAATGCCACCATTTTTGTAACGATTTACAGACTGTGTTAAATGCTTATTTTCGAGGACAATATTTGGGATGGATCATACCAAAGTCATGCACAGCCATATTTTTTTTTCTCTTGCAATGATCAGAAAACATTGCTCATAAATGAGCATTTTGCTCATCTGCTAGAAGAATCACTTCAGCGACTGTCAGTATATGAATGCTGTTGTTCCTCGAGCTTAGATCATGATTTAATATCCTTTTGTTATATGCCATGGATTTAAAGGTACAAACATATAAATATTGCAGTGCTTCTCAATATCTATCTAGTCAATAACTACAATAAAACTGTTTCATAACTGTTATAACCACACAAAATAGCAATAAATTCCATCATTACTTTTCTAATCCTCTGTATTTTAAATGAGAATAAAAATACTTGAAAATAAAGTGTAATCAGAAGAAGAATTTTCTGTTTCTTCGGTGATATATAATTTTATATTTTGGTTTAATTCCTGGTTTTGAATATTAAATCTAAACTTGCAAGGATACAGCCAGTCAACTAACACTGACATTATATTGTGACAGATAGATTAGTGACTTTATTTGTGCCCATAAGCAGCATATATTCCACCTCAAATGAAAGGCAACAAGTGCTAGACTGCAAACATTCAACTAAATCTGAGGTAAATAATAGGTGAGATTGGCAGTCAGCTTCAATGAAGCACCATTAGTATATTCTCTTGAAGACCTGGACTTTTATGTTTGTGCAAATGCAGGTATCCTTAAAAGCTGTATATTTTGCTGAGTAATGAAAAAAATAATACATTCCATTGCAAATTTAAAGATTTAAAATTCATTTGTATTTATATTGAGGTTTTTGGACCCATAATGAATTTTATATCAAATTGAAATTCTTATATTATATCAAATGTTTTTCCGTTGTTCACCTTGCATATATTACATTTGAAGTGTAAGAGAATAAATTCACGCATTAAGACTTATTTGTATTTATTAGGTTTAAGATTCCTGTTCGATGTTAAGACCACCCTTCAGATAGGAGACATCACCTTCTTCCCTTCTCGAACAACTCATAATTATGACCTGTATGCCAGCTCTTCCACCAAAGAGGATATTCTTTTTGTGAATCTGGCTGATGGCAAAGTGGAAATGATTACTGGCATCGGCCGCTCCATGGATCCGGTGGTCGCAGAATGGGGCAACACCAACCGTCCCATTTCCAGTGCAGGGGTCTTCGGAACCTACATGGTGACCACTGCCAATGAAGCTATATTTGTTGTCAATGGGAAAACCAGGACCGTGAACTGTGAAATAGGAAGCACGGTCCATCCCAGAATGGTAGTATGGGCAAAAGCACCTTGAAATAAATTGAGACTTTGGCCCGGCTCTTTGTAAATGACCACGCCGACCGTCGGGAGACAAACCGACAACACCTTAGCCTTGCAGTACGGCTTTAATGCACACAGATGAAAGACAATTATAGTTGAATGCCTTGATAATATATGCAAATCTAGATTTATTCCCTTTAAATATTTTTCTTAAGTTAAAAATCACGTTTACATGATGAACGAGTACATGACAAAATAGTTCTAATTTTCAATTGTGCAAATTTGTATCCATTGTGTAAATACAAATCTTAAATATCTCACTGTCTTGGGAAATTTAAAGTGATTTCTACTTTTAGAATAACACTAATGAGAAAGACCCCTTCCACTAAAATTAAAAACTAAATTTCTCTATTTATCTGTAAATTTTCAAGTTTAAGATGTTTCAACCTACTCTTAAGCAATGCAAAGTCCATTTTCAGCTGCTGCCAAAGCTGCTGTGTAAAGTTAAGGTGTTGGGAAGTGCAGAAAATGGTTCTGCGCTCAGAAAGAGCAAGTTCTCATTCCTGTCACATGATTCTTTCTCTCGTCCCATGCAAAAGAAAAACAAAAAGCACTTTGCACCTCGGCTCATTCTGCAATGGCATATGTTGTCAGCTTTGTGAATACATTTACAGAGAAAATACGTGCATCTTGAAAATGGTGTATACCAGCTATTTAAGAATTATGCAAATGCATAAAAACCCTATACTAAATACAAAATATTATTAAATAATTCAACTAATTTAAAAAGTGGACTTTTGATTCGGGGTTTATTAGAACTGACGCTCTGCTATTTGCTTGCATGAGCCGAAACCACTTTTGCTACAATGAATGTTGCACCCAAAGCTTCTGCCAACTCTGTTAATTAAAGCTACATTCAAGCAGCCTAATTCCTTTTGTTTATTCAAAATTATTTACTAACAAATCATAGTGCTTACATATTAGTGAAACTACCTCAGTGCAGCTTGACGATTATTTGCATAAGAAAAAAAATTGATGCAATAATTTATTTATAATTGCAATTTATTATAAATTTATTTATTTTAGCATTTACCTCTATATTCTAAAATGTAAAATGTTTTATATTTTAATTAGGTATTTAACATGAAAATTAATTATTACATCTACTTATTAGTAGACTTTTGCTTCTTTTGCTCCAAAGGGAATTTCAATTTTTAAAAACAGACCGAAAGATTCTATTTTCGTTAATGATTTTGTGGCAAAATTCTTACCTTATGTGGAAAATTTACCACAGTTTTTTCTATCAAAGGCAAAACCTGCAAACACATATTTCGAAATTTTCGAAATTGATTTTTAAGATAAAAATATCACAATTTGTTAGATATTTTTTAATAATAAAAAAAAATCTAAATTTGTGGGTTTATTTTAGAAACTGTTGGAACTCCAAATGCAACAAGTAGAACACATATGAAGATGGCAACATTGTTTATAAAAATTAATCAATTATCAGGTGCATGGTTGCCAGAGTAAAGCAGATTCTGAAAATTTGATGACTTCTCCTAAGGTAGTTGTGCTAATGTGTAAGTACCCAAATTATAATTATTACAAATAAATCAAAATTTTATAAAAATACAGTGTTAAATGTTTAGCTTCTACTTTTCCTCTGATCATTGCCTTTGGAATATTTGGATCAGATAAGTAGGTACACAAACAATTTAAAAATTCGTTTACAACTGAACTAAAATTTTAGAAGTCATAGAAATTAGCACTTATTATTATAAAAAATTCTAATAACATTTATTGGAAAACTGGTGACCCTTTGAGCTGAATGTAGCTTTGAGAAATTCTCAGCATTTTTGCACATACTATCCATGTATAATGTCTGATGTACATGCATTATTGTTCTAATACTTATAAAATCGTTGTATAGCATTTACCTCTATTTTCTCAAGGATAGAAATAGGTTTATTAATATGAAAATAATCAAGTATGCAAATTATTTCTTGATTAAAAAAAGGAAAAAAAAGAAAAGTAATTTAATCAAAGAAATATCCAAAGTTTCAAAAATTCAACAAGTATTTATGTTTCCATGTTTAAAAAAGCTTTAAATTCTAAGAATATCTCATGTCATAATTTTATTATTCAGTTTTGCATAATATGGATTCTGAGTAAATATTATTCAAATACCTTTTCACAAGATTACATAAGTATGTTTCCAGACAAAAAAACAATGGCTGATACCAATAATCAATATGCTTTCAGATGCCCGTTTAGAAATATGAATTAAAGTTAAAAAAATTTCTTCATGGGATTCTAAAGTTTATTCTAAATTGGTCTTCTTTTACATGCATTGCAAATTTGCAAAATTTCTATGCTAGTTTAACTTGAGAAATATATGTTAGATATTTTAATGAATAAAATGAAATTATTTCCAATATTAATATAAATCAACACTGTTAACATTATATTAATTGGACTATAATTTTTATCACATTTTTTTGTAATTTGAATATTACTCTTATTTAAATGATTTTTAATGGGAAAAAAGGCTTATGAATAAATTTGAATGCTTTGTGTTCAAATATATTCAACATTTTTGTGTTTATTATATGAATTATCCATTTGCCTTTTATACCGTTGTTCCCCTGTATTTAAAAAAGAAAAGGAAAAAAATACTTACAATAGTAGTGCACAACTATGGCAATGTAAGGATGTAAAATAATAATTCTAATAATTTATACTGATCTCAGTTTTCTACAAATTGTTCATTTGAAAAGTGCTGTTAAATGTTCAATGTATGACCATAAAATATTTGACAATATATTATGTATATTTAAATATTGCAAATAAAATTTACATTCATAATAATTCAAGTATAATAACTGGTTAGCATTCTGCATTAAAAATTAACTTCAGAATTGTCAAACGTATTCATAAATACAAATTATGATATAAAGACTATTAATAATTATAAAGAAACACAGATAACGTATGTACTTTATATCCTCTGATTATTTTTGAAATATGAGATTTGTGTGATAAATATATACTTATAAAAGCAATAAAAAAAGCAAGTAGCATTTTAGTTCTTAAAATGTTTCATTAGCTTTCTCATTTACTTTTCTAATTCAATTTTTAATTCCTTTAACAAATTAAGTATTATTTAGATATTTTATCATAAATTCTTGTTCTTGTTATAAGTTAACTGTTATAAAAAATAACAGTTAAATTATTTATAGTTTTTTATTCATTTTCATTTATTTGAAGGGAATTTTATGATTAGAATAATTGCAACTAATGCTGAAGTAACAGACATTTCTGACTGGGCAAAACAAATAAAAATACCCTATATGAATTGCAAAAATTAAACCTCTGTAAACTGCAAATTTTTTTTTTTTTTTTTTTTAAATTTGTGGGTTCATTATTGAAAAGATTGTCACATAAAAATGTATAAGAAGTCATATAAGATGCAGTGTTCCTAGCTTTTCAAGTAAACAGTATTCATTATGTGTGAATTACACATACCAAGGTAAATTAAAATACTGAAACAAAAAATTAATCATAAGAATTTACCTTTTTATTATTATTATTATTATTATTATTATTATATCTATAGATTCAAGTACCTTCTCTTTCTACTTTAGTTGTGCACTGCTGGAATAGAAATATTATTCATTACTTTTACTTACGTTTTATCCTTCTAGTCTATGAATTCACTTGTATAGCAAAATGTACAGTTGACACATCACATCTAATAAAACAATTTCTGAAAAAGTGTTGACACTATTTCTGTTCTCTTTTAATCAAAAACCTAAACGATAAATAGTCTGTGAATCCTAATCCTAATCAAATAGATCTGCATAGCTTTACAAAGAGAATTTGAATTCTGAAACACATTTTTGAATAAATATATTATCAACATTTAATGTCTTTAGTCTTTCATTAAAACACCATGAAATAAATCTGTAATATCCCAAAATTAAAAAATAAATGCATACAAATAAATAATTAAATACATATAAGAATTATTGACTTATTCCATCCAGTTAAATGGTAAATTAGAAGTGAATATTTACTTATTACAGAAGTTACGAGAATAACTTCGATTCTAAATATAACAGAAAGAATATGATAAAGAACAAACATTAAAGATACTAATAATAAGTAACAATTATCGCAGAAATTTTAGAAATTTCCAGGATTATAGTTTCAAAGGTTAAATTTGTAATTTCATGATTCTGATCTACTGTTAAAGATATATACCATGGATGACAGAAATTCATGTCAGTAAAAGCTATCTTTTGGATTAAAGAACTGCAACTTGGCATTTACATAATTTTAAAATTGATTCTGATTTTGAATATAAGAAAAACTTTCAAATTATCTAATAATGATTATACATTTCATATTTAATCCAATTATTTAATATAAATAAAAATAATACCTGCTGCTCTTTCATTCTATTTAGGAAAATATGCTACTGTGAAAAACAATTTAAAATTTATATGTGATGTGTTGAACATTCTTTTCAGATAGAAAGACCATGCAGTTTCTTCTGATTTCCATTTTTTTTTTTTCCTCTCCTGATTCTGATTCCGCCAATGGATTTTAATGCAATTAAAAACCCTTTCTTCTTTATAATAAAGAAAAGTGTTTTTCATTTTAATGAAGAATAATGTAGTGATTTGAAAAACAGAACTAGCAATTTTCTTCACACTAAAACAAGTGAGACAGAGCAACTAAAATTTTATGTATAAAACATTAATTTAAATATATCGATTTAGCATGGTTTTTGTATTAAAAAAAAGCTTGTTTTTTCTATGCAACTAACCTGATGATCAACATTTAAGAATAACCATTAACTTTAAATCATTTAATCAGTTCATTAATGGAAATAGGAAGATCAGAAACATTTTGTGTCTTCCATTGCAGGCACAGGTTAGAGCAAGACCAACTCCTGTGCTTTGTGGAAAGTACACTGGGTATCGCCATGCCTTATTGCAGCTGTTAACTCCACTGGAGAGCACCCTGAATCTTTAATTTACTTGAATTTCTTTTGGAAATATTCTCCTGCTCTATGTAAAATTGTTCACATACGTGTTGCCATCTACCAGCATTTCTGTTAATATATTATTGTATTTTGGAACGAACCTGTAGTTGTAACCATTGCTGTGGTACTAGATCTTCTTTCAACCAATGTCTAAATTTCTAAATACCATGCAAAGAACATACAGATAAAGAAAGAAAGTAAAACCAACTTGACTACTGTGCTGGTAAATCAAGGAGGGACAAATTCTCGTCGTCAAAGCACTAGATGCATAGAAAACAGAGGAACACAATGTTAACCCTAAAGAACTTATAGGATTCGTTTTTTGATTCATGTCTTTTCATGATAATTTAAACTCTGATTTTCATAGATTTTTTTTTTTGGAAGCACTTCCGCAGAGAACCCGGTAAATGTAAACATCGCCAACTTTGGCGATAATAGTTCAAACATGGTAACCTAGCTAATTCATCCGATTCGCTTGTGCGAAGGTAGTCGTTGTTCGCATTTGGAGATTTATATTCTTCTTCTCTTATTTATTGTTATTTTTTTTTTCTGAATTTTTTTAACAACGAATAGATAGAAATATTTTCGTAATAATTAAAGAAGTTTTCGTCGAAAGATGGCGGTTCTCGGCTCGTCAGTTCAGGATCAAAGGAAGAAAATATGGCGGGAGGGGTGAATTGCTAATTTGTAACAGGGATGTTCACGTTATGTTCTTATTATTATTAACAGCTGTAAAGCACGCAGAACCATGAGGTTTCCAAATCCTAAAATAATTTTTAAATGTATAAAGTTCTAGTTTTATTAACTTAACAATGCTACTGAAGAAAATTTGATTACTGTTGAAGGTTATTTGTATTGTGAAATATATTATGAAAAAGGACAGGTATTTGTTGCAACGTAAAATGCTTTAAGCTGTATGCAAGTAACTTGAAAAAAAAAAAAAAAAGTACTGAAAACTATTTAAAATGGATGTATTAAAGGTCATGCATTCATTAATTTATTACATGGGCATGGCTCTTACCGAAATACATCAATCAACAGGCCAAGTACTTAATAATGAAAAATGACACTTGTAATAGAAATAATTAGTATTCTATATGAATTAGAGAAAATACATAGAAGTATAATGTAAACGTAAGTATAACAATACTAATTTTTATTTTTTAAATGAATTTCTACTTCCCGTTATGCTTAATACATTGTTTTCTGTGCTAACTTGAATTTAATACAAATTTATTTTCGTATATCACGTTTAACCTGTTAGTTTTACATCTACATACTTATTATCTGTGAATTTTTACTACCACTGTTTGCTAACGTGAATTTACATACATTAAAAACCACGTTTACGGCTCGGCTCAGCTTGGCGAGTAAACATGCAACGGCGCCAACGGGTTCTTTCCCGAAGCGCCAACGGGTTCTCTGCGGATGAAAACCCTTTTTTTTTTTACTCAAATAAATAAACCCTTAATTAATTTACTTGCATGGATCACTGATTTTCGTCAATACTGAGGGGAAAAAAGTTCTCCCAGAAGTCTGAAATTTTGACAAACGTGATCATCGACACCGCCATGACAGCTATTTTGCACATGAGCAAAACAGCATTCAGGTTGGATGGATAGCCCCTGTAAAGTAAGCTTCACGTATATTTTACCGTCTTCTGTTTGACTAAACCCTCCTGCTTTGGCGAAGCTTTCGTTCTTAATCCTAGAAATTCTTCGCACCATGTGACCTCGACAGCTTCATTCACGTTTCTACTGTTTCAATCACTCTCACCTCGACTGCCTTGAAGCACACTCGCATTTTATCAGCTCTTCCTGCATCAAAATTTCCACCCTTATTTATTTTCACATTGCCTCAAAAATTGCTTACCATTTATTACTCATGATATCTTCATCATCAGTTTTGACAGAAAGAATTTTTTCCAAAATGCTAGTTATACGTTGTGTTGCACTTTACTTTTTTATAGTCCAGTCTGAGCTCTGAGCTCCACCTGTGCCTCGTGGCCTGCAGCCAGATAACTAGGAGGGATCCGAGTGTCTCCATTTCTCTTTTCCTACTGCCAACCACTTGAGAGGATTTTTGGCTTGCCAAATATTTTAAATGCCTCCATGTCATGTGGACACTATACGCTTACAGACATCCATGCCTATCGGGAATACAAATCCGGGTTCTTCGGTATGGCAGTCAGCGTCACTAACCACTATCCCGTTTGGGCACCATTTATCATGTACAGGTACAAGTTGAAGCAAGACCGGCATCCATCTAGGCACATTAGATAGCTTCACGAGCCACTATACCGACAGGGCAGCTACTTTCCACTGCAAGTAATGTCTTTGGTGAGATTTGAGGTACATCATTATCATACATACATCAGCATTTTTAGT